GGAATCATCAGGTGGTCATCAGACCACCTGATGATTCCTATACGGATGAAACATACTGTTGTGGTTTTTTGAGGTAAAACGAAAAACTACATATATATATATATATATATATATATATATATATATATATATATATATATATATATATATATATATATATATATATATATATATATATATATATATCAGTGTTTTAAACTAAAAGCTATTTGAATCTAAAAAAACTAAGTTTTTGCACAAGCCATTGTTTCCTCTTATATAAAAAGTAATTTTAACCCACAATCGCTACTCTTCATGTTACCATTTTGACGTCACCATCTATATTCCTATATCAACCAAAAAAGCCGTCTTAGCAGACAAATAACGACGGTGACCTACCTTTTTTATCGCAGAAAATGCATTGTTATAAAGTTTTGAATCTTTTGAATGTTATTTTAATATCGCCAGTGTAGTTTTCGAGATACTGAATTTCAGCCTTTCCAATCTTAAAGGCTGAAATTCAGTATCTCGAAAACTACACTGACGATTTTCAAAACTTCATAACAATGTATTTTCTGCAATAAAAAAAGGTAAGTCACCGTGATTATTTGTCCGCTAAGTTAAGACGGCTTTTTTGGTTGATATAGGCCATATAAATGATGACGTCATGTTGTAATGGTAACGTGAAGAGTAGCGATTGTGGGTTAAAATTACTCTTTTATATAAGAGGAACCAATGGCTTGTGCAAAAAATTAGTTTTTTTAGATTCAAATAGCTTTTAGTTTAAAACACTGACGTATATTGGAAACTGTAGGGAGCCTTCTTAACGGGATCAATTTTAGCTTGAATTTTAGTTGCCTTCTCACAAGAGGTTTTCGTTCTACCCACTGATCTAAAAAATTTTAGATCAGTGTTTCCACCACACTAGCGGGATGGGTTAGATGTGTTAACGAGAACCATGAACGAGGCATACATTTTATTTGTTTGCTAGATCGTTATGACATGAAAAATGTCTGCGACTAACGAAAACACGATGCTGCTGAATGGAAAGAAGACGATTAATGGTGTTTCAAATGACGTGGATTATCCGACAGATATGAAAGGTATAAGTTGTACTTGGTTATGAAGATGTGTTCTAACTGAGTCCGATGCATATGCGTAAAACAATATCCCGGTTTATCATCAGCGCGGCCCGCATCCGTTTTCGTTACCGTGGAATTAGAGACCTTGCGATGTAGGACGCCAAATTAGAAGTGCGACTAACCACTAATATGATTTTTGGTATGTGTAATATTTGGGTCATTCAAAGAAGAAATGTAATATACCTTTATAATAAAAAATCCCATCTTGATCAACTTTTTCACTGTCAATTTCCGGATATGATGTCATTAGGTGAATTGCAAATTAGTTTTCCTTTGTTTTTTGTACCAAAAATTCACCTAATGGTACGTCATATCTGGAACTTTGACAGTGAAAAAGGTGATCAAGATTATATTTTTTACTATAAAGATATATTACATTTCTTCTCAGAATGACCCAAATATTACACATACCAAAAATTATATTTGGGGTTAGTCGCACATTAAATAGAATACATGTTAGTGTTTCGTTCAACTTAAATAGAATACATGATAGTGTTTGGAAAGCATTGAGAACAGCTAGCCAAGGTCGCGTGACTGCCACTCTTATAAAACTCTTATAAATTATTTATTGGGTATGAATACAAATACCATTATTACAAAATTGATTACTACAATAATAATAATTAATAATAATGTTAGCTTAAAACAAAAAAAAATCCATCCCAAATGGTGGAGGTGCGAACGAAATGTTTATAAAAAAAAAAACTACCCATGCGAGACACCTCTCCGAATACACGTGACAGTGTCAATAATTCTTACAAGTAACAAAACAGAAATACAAAACAATAAATTACAATACAAAAAACATAAGACAGTCAAATTCGATGACAAGGACAATTACGTGACATTGACCAGGTACATAACAAATTTAACATCAAAACTAGAAAATATTAAATTAGAATAATGTTCATAATGATAGTTTTTGAATGTTCTTAAACAAGAGAAAGTATCTGGTGAAGCTGAACTGTAAACACAGTTTCACAGTTTCACAATTCGATTGAAGTATGATGCCTGGTAGGTGGATGTATTGCAGCAGGGAGTCTTGAGTATGAGGTTTGGATTGTTGCTGTGACGGGTTCGGTTGTGAGGAACAAAAGAAACATAGTTGTGGACATCAAGGTCGGTGATACCATAAAGGGCTTTGTAGAAAAAAAATCAGATCTCTCATCTCTCGATCATAACACAGCGGCAATAATTTCAATTTTGTCAAACGTTCACTGTAGCTGGAATAAAAAAAAAAATTTCAATTTTGTCAAACGTTCACTGTAGCTGGTATAAAAAAACAAAACATGCCAACTCTCATGCACTCTCATTTTCGTTTCATCCAGGTATTACTGACTTGAAAGATAAAGGAAAGGTGAATACGAGAAGAACCAAAGATGGGTTGGAGAAAAGGAAATTGTACGAAGTGATGTTATTGGAAGAAATCCCAGGTACATTGTAATGATTTGAGTTTGGCGAACATACTGAACATTGATAAAATAGGAAAATGGAATCAAGTCAGTGTATTCATATATAACACTAAAGGCTGTAAATATGGATGAAGCGCGATCATATAAAGGCATAATATTATGAGACGTTCACTGACCAAACTTATTTATTTAGACGAGCTTTCGGCCACTAGACTGTAGTCTTCGACAGGTACAGGACTAATAAAAATATATAGCAATGGTTTACACTATCAAATGTTTCTGTGATCACAGTAGGAATTTTGCATATTAGGTGAATTCTAAGTTTTGAAGGATTTGTAAGAAATTTTTGAAGGAACTGACTTCGTGTTTAGCAATTTAGTATAATAATAAATTGAAATTCCCCGTTAGCTGGGCTCGCATGAACCGGCCCTTTGGTTTTTTTTCTGATCGTAGAATCCCACCGACCTAACGAGCCAACCCACGCCGTCCTTGAAGGCGCTCTTAAATGGGACGTTGATGGTCAAAGCAACCACGTCAGGAACCACGCCTTGATACATTACATTGCCAATCTCGCGACCAAGAATGACGCCGACGACATATTTGATTATGAGTTCGTGGAATCACTGCTCCGAAATGGCGCCGACATCAACTGTATGGACCCGACAGGTCAGACGATCTTTCATGAGGTGGCGAGATCTTGGAACACGGATGTAGCAAAGTTTCTAGTGGAGAATGGTAATCATATGACCATTATTTATCATCATCAGCACCACCATCGTCCTCACAAGCACCATCATCATCATTATCATCATTACCACTACCATTATCATGATCACTATCATCACCATCATAATCACCACCGACATTATCACCTTCACCATCATTACCACCAACACCATCATGATCACTATCATTACCACCACCACCATCATGATAACTATCATCATCATTACCACTATCATCTTCACCACTGTCATCACCATCATGATCACCACCAACACCATCATCTTCACAATCACCATCACTACCACCAACACCATCATTATCACTATCATCATCATTACCACCATCATGATCACTATCGCCATCATAATCACTATCATCTTCACCATTGTCATCACCATCATGATCACCACCATCATCTTCACAACCATCATCTTCACAATCACCATCATCATTATTATCATCATCAGTCGCTATCAACCTCACTAACATCATCATCACTACTGTCATTCTAGTGGAGCATAGTAATTATTTTCAAACATCTTCTTGCGGGTCTTATATGCTTTTGTCTGATGGTATAATTTTACATCAGTCGCATATAGCAACACTGGACTATAATTAGACATGGGGCTGGTTGTTTGAAAATCGATTAACTTAACTGTAGGTTAACCAAAACTGCAAAGCAATCATCCCAACAGCTTGTTTGTAAATTTGGAAATATTTCTTTAGAAATCTTGTCTGGATCAGTAGGAGTTTTCTTCTCTGACATTTTGAAATAAACAGACGTGCAGAAATACATAAACTAAAACAGCAGGTTAAATCTTAACCGTGTGTTACCGCTACTCCAGCTTTGAACAACTTGCCCATGGGTGTAGCTGGAAATCGAGGAAGAAATGTTTAGAATTGATTGAATTAATTCGCCATTTTGTCTTAAACAGGTGCCAATATAAATCATCAAGATGAGTTTGGTCGTTCTCCACTCCATGTTGCCGCAGCAGTCGACTACACAAGTATGGTGGAATTTATCGTCCAAAATGGCGGAGATATTGACATCAAGACGAAAGAAGAAGGACAAACTGCCATACATTACGCCGCGAAAAGTGACGCGGTCAACTCTATTCAGATGTTGCTAGGTTACGGAGCCAATATTGATTCTCGCGACTGTAGAAATCGGACACCGTTACAAGTATTAAATCTCTCCTATCTATATCCTTATTTTGACTATACATTCATCTCAGGACTGGATGAAGTTTTGATCAAGTTCGAGGACTGGATATGGTTTCAATAAAGTCCACAGATTGGACAAAGCATTGATCATGTGTGAACTCCTAGGCGTGTATAAAGTTTTTATCAAGTCCTGTAGAACTGGATAAATTTCAATTTCGAACCAGTTCTAAAAACACCCCGGATAAAATTCCCAACCCAAATATTATTGTCTCTAACCAGAGAGCTTGATAAAGTTGTGATCAAGTTGTAGGACTCTATGAACTTTTATGACGCCCCTGATCAAATTCTGGGAGTGTATAAAGTTTTGATCAACGCCTAGTCTAAGAGTGGATAAAGTTTTTATGTATAACAACGTTTATGAATTTTATGTCACCTTAGATCGCCGCAGAAGTGAACAGTTTCAAAGCTGCCAAACTTCTAGTGACTGAAGGAGCGCCTGCTGGCGTGTATGACAACCTGGGGAACTCTGCATTATCACTCCTTATTGAAAAGATTCCTGAAGTGGCGCTCATAGCATTGGACCAACTTCACACAACAGACTACATCAACAGACGAGAGTTTTACTTTCTCAACTACCTCGAAGGCGCGAAAATGAAGGAAGAATTGCTGGAAACACCAGCGCGTTCCCCCATGGAAATAGCTGTCCTGAATAAAAGGTAAAATGTAAAATATAAATTTTTCCTTGAAATTTCTTTCTACAAAACCCATCAAGATAAATAAATACTGCTTATCTCGTCCAGACCCGTAGCAATGGCGAGCACTTTATGAAATATTGGGGGGGGGGGGAGCTCGTGGGCATGCACCCCGGAAAATGTTTAAAATTTGGTCCCCGGAAATGGCATTAATTTGCAATTAATTTGCAGCACTCTGAGAACACATTTTGTAAAAACTAGGTTTTCAAAACACTGTTTTAAATAATGGTATTAAATAACAATGTTTTAATTAATGGTATTATATGACAATTACATTATATGAGTGTGATTTGTGTTATTTGGTACAAGATTTTTACAGTCTTTCAAAATTATAGGGGTGGGGGGCTCAGGCCCCCTCCCCCCCTAGTATCCGCCACTGACCTGTAGACCTAAGATTTAGACATACTAAGGTGATTCCATTACCGGAATCGCACAGCCGCAGGTTCGATTTCAGCTGGAGGGCCTTTCTTCCAGTCGTATTCTCATGTTATTTATCCAAACACAGAACGCGTTATTTTGATGTGCAGTTAACAATACAATCTAGGTTATTTAGCTATCTTTTTATACTGAAAGGTTTGATATCATCATGCATCCAGTCATGAGAAGACTTATTGCGGTCAAATGGAATATTTATGGCAAGAAAGGTGCCATCTTAGATGTTGTTTTAAATCTGATCTATACAATACTGTGGACTGTCGAAGGTGTGACTTCGCCGAAATATGGACATGAATTATATCTGCCAGTGAGAAAGAATATCGGCAGAATAACTATTGGTGGTTTGATTGTTTTGTTCACCTTGGCTGAGATTAAAAGACAAGTCCTACGTGAGTTGATACAAGTAGTGTTGTTCTTGTTGGAGCAGTCGTTAAGAGTCGCCAAAAACTTCCAGTTGCAGTATCACTGTCAAATCTGTCATCATCATCACCACCATTACCACCACCATCGTCGATTCATTTGCACCATTATTTCCATCATCACATCTACCACCATCGTGATTACCACCATCATCTTCACAACCACCATCATTATCACTATGATCATCACTATGATCATCACTATCATCTTCATCATCACTATTATCATCATCACTATTCTCATCACGATCATCTTCATCATCACTATTATCTTCATCACCTCTATCATCGTCACTTTTATCAACATCACGATAATTTTCATCATCACTATCATCATCACTATTATCTTCACTACTATTATCTTCACTACTATTATCTTAATCACTATTCTCATCATCACCAAATCATCATCACTATTCTCATCATCACGATTCTCATCATCACGATAATTTAATCGCCATTACCATCATATCTACCATTATCATCACTATCATCTTCACTATTATCATCATTCTCATCATCACGATCATCTTCATCATCACTATTATCTTCATCACCACTATTATCACCATCATGACGACCATCATCAATAAGCACTACCACCACCATAATATAATCATCATCGTCTTCACCTACCACCATCTTTACCACCATCATCCTCATCACCGTAACATGGTCCCCCCAGATTTTGCATTACCCAAGACATAGATAATCAATCCTTATTGCATTTCAAGTTCTAAACTTACTATTCTATTACCAATCCTCAAACCATCACCACTAGTCTCATCCTGGCCAAACCCATCCATATACCTTTTAGAAACGATCAAGGCAAGACAAGAATTAGTAAAATGGCGCGAATGGCGAGCGGAACAACTACAACAAGACAAACAATATTGCCATCCAAGATGGCCACAGGAAAGCAAACTACTAGACTCAGAAATTGAAGCTGTCAAAGGTAAAAGGCTGTTAATTTTTCCTGTCAACTGAGAGTTGAGTTGGAGTCGAAGGCTTTCTAGGTGACCACCATACAGAAGGCTTTAGTAGTTGGAAATTTCCACATATTTGATACATTTATTGGACCTGACCAGGAGGAGTTTGTGGGTTAACCGAGTCAAATCCGAGCCCGAGTCAAATGTCCGAGTCACTGTTTAGTGGTCTTTGTAGTTCAATGATTTAGTACCCTAACCCTTCTCCCTAAGTATGTAATTCTTGGCCGTTTAATGAAATTGGAAATTTGGAATATTTATTTTCGAGATATAGGCGGAAAAATTGGCCGTTATTGTCATATTTTAAATTAGCTTTGATAATCTAATTAACAATCGCCGTTTTGATTAGTTGTTATTTCGTGCATCTAAATGACTGTCCACTTTTCATCGACTTCAGTAGCAGGCTCTATTTCAAGTATAGAGCCTGACACGCAGGCTACGCCACACTCGACTAATTTAGTAGCAGGCTTCAATCAGTGGCAGGTTATTGGCAGCGTGGTAACCATATCTGGCACTCTTCATCTTGTCTTTTTCTCAGGTCTTCATCTTGCCTCCATGACTGACAAATGGGTTTATTTCGATTGGATTTGTTTATTTCTCATTCTGTTGACCATCGTCACAAGTATGCTGTTCTTTCATGAGGATACCGAATTGTGGAAGAGAATAAATAACCACACAACCATTGTGATGCTGTTGTTTTCTTGGCTCAGAATGTTTAAGTACGCAAGACCGTTTGAAAATGCCGGTATGTATTATTCATTTCCACAGCGGTTTTGATGCCATGGATTTGGGTCCATATTTCTCTCATTTCCTTGCTGCGCACGTAAAAAATCTCTTTGCTACGCACGTAAAAATTACTTAGTTTTCATTTTATATTTCACTTTTCCAATACGTTGTTTCAGGTCCATTTGTGGTGATCTTCAGTAACGTCGTGGGAGACATTTTGAAATGGTTTGTTATGAACGCGATCATATATATTCCTTTCACTTGCGCGTTCTGGATCGAATTTGGAATCAATTCCTCGTACCCGGCAGAAGGCTACACCGACGTATCGTCCCTGCTATATAACATCTTCCAAATGACGATTGTCGGAGACTACAACTTTAGCCACCTGCAGGCAGCTGACGAAACGATGGCGCGCATATTATGCGGAAGTTTCATCCTTGTCGCGGGCATTATCACGCTAAACCTGCTGATCGCGCTCGTTTCGAACACGTTCGAACGTCACTACGAAAACGCGGTTGCGAACGCGGTTATGCAACGCGCGAGCACGATTTTGTTGCTTCAATCACGAATGGGACCAAAGAAACGCAAACGGTATTACGAGTTCATCCGAACCAACGCAAGTCCGCAAATTGTTCAAGCGAAATACGGTGGACTCATGACGGCATCCCCCGAAGATAGAGCGACGATCGAACGAGTGTACGACGACGTACGGCAGATTAAAAGCGTTCTAGCTGAACGGTTTGGACGGCGTTACGGAAAGGGGAATAAATCTGATATGGAAAATGTCCGCGAGGATTTGGAGAAAGTTAAGAGGTCCGGAAAGGAAATGGCGAAGAATATTAAGTTGATATTGTATGGTATTGGCGGACAGCGTGTTTCGACATTGTATCAAATGAACAGTGCGGACCTTCTCGGCGGCAAAAAAGATGATAACGACAGCGACGAAGAAACGAATAAAGACAATGACAATAACGACAACAACAGCAAGAATAACAACAACAACAACAACAACAACAACAACAACAACAACAACAACAACAACAACAACAACAACAACAATAACGACAATAACAACAACAGCAGCAACAACTTACTCACACCTACTCGACCGAGAAAAACCAGGAAGCGAAATCGGTCCCGAAGATCAAAGAAACCCGATACTAGTGCTTCTGAGGCATCCGACATTGATGACGCAAACATAACCGGCCTTCCTGGAACACATTTAACGTGGCCAAAAGCACGTGATTTGATGGAGGCGGTTGGTCGGCCAGGAAAAAAGAAAGAAAAGAGTGAACCCAAACGTGCTGGAGGAGAGGATTGGCCTAAAGGTAAATTGGGATTTTCATGTATTCCCAGCGTCGTTTCGATTTAAGAATGACGATAACTACTTCACAAATCTCTTCTTGAGCCGAAGTCTCATTCCCACGAGTCGTTAGCGAATTGACCACTTGCGTAATAGACTAAATTTTGATCTAGACAAAAATTTCATCACACCTTGAAAGAGCATCACAAAATTAGTAATATTCCAAAGTTTCGTTGCCCATACCCTTTGGGGCTGTCAATTTCCCGTTTGTAATACAAAATGACTGAAAAACGGCAAACTTCGCAAGGCTATATTATCCGCATTTTACAACATTTCGCAACGAAACTTTGGAATATTACTAATTTTGTGATTCTCTTTCAAGCTGTGATGAAA